GTATATACAGAGATAACAAGGTGGTATATACATGGATACCGAGGTAGTATATACATGGATACTGATGTTGTCTATACAGAGATACTGAGGTAGTATATACAGAGATACTGATGTTGTTATATACAGAGATACTGAGAGTGTATATACAGATACTGAGGTTGTGTATACAGAGATACTGATGTTGTTATATACAGAGATACTGAGAGTGTATATACAGATACTGAGGTTGTGTATACAGAGATACTGATGTTGTTATATACAGAGGTACTGAGGTTGTGTATACAGAGATACTGAGGTTGTTTATATACAGAGATACTGAGGTTGTATATACAGAGATACTGATGTTGTTATTTACAGAGATACTGAGGTTGTATATACAGAGATACTGAGGTTGTATACAGAGATACTGAGAGTGTATACAGAGATACTGAGGTTGTATATACAGAGATACTGATGTTATTTACAGAGATACTGAGGTTGTATATACAGAGATACTGAGGTTGTATACAGAGATACTGAGAGTGTATATACAGAGATACTGAGGTTGTTATATATAGTGATACCGAGGTTATATATACAGAAATAATGAGGTTGAATATACAGAGATACTGAGGTTGTATATACAGAGATATTGAGGTAGTATATACATGGATACTGAGGTTGTATATACAGAGATACTGAGAGTGTATATACAGAGATACTAAGGTTGTATATACAGAGATACTGCAAGTGTATATACAGAGATACTGAGGTTGTATATACAGAGATACTGAGGTTGTTTACAGATATACTGAGGTTGTATATACAGATATACTGGGAGTGTATATACAGAGATACTGAGGTTGTATACAGAGATACTGAGAGTGTGTATACAGAGATACTGAGGTTGTATATACATGGATACTGAGAGTGTATATACAGAGATACTGAGGTTGTATATACAGAGATACTGAGGCTGTATATACATGGATACTGAGAGTGTATATACAGAGATACTGAGAGTTTATATACAGAGATACTGAGAGTGTATATACAGAGATACTGAGGTTGTATACAGAGATACTGAGGTTGTATATACAGAGATACTGAGAGTGTATATATAGAGATACTGAGGTTGTATATACATGGATACTGAGAGTGTATATACAGAGATACTGAGAGTTTATATACAGAGATACTGAGAGTGTATATACAGAGATACTGAGGTTGTATACAGAGATACTGAGGTTGTATATACAGAGATACTGAGAGTGTATATATAGAGATCCTGAGGTTGTATATACAGAGATACTGAGGTTGTATATACATGGATACTGAGAGTGTATATACAGAGATACTGAGGTTGTATATACAGAGATACTGAGGTTGTATATACAGAGATACTGAGGTAGTATATACAGAGATACTAAGGTTGTATATACAGAGATACTGCAAGTGTATATACAGAGATACTGAGGTTGTATATACAGAGATACTGAGGTTGTTTACAGATATACTGAGGTTGTATATACAGAGATACTGGGAGTGTATATACAGAGATACTGAGGTTGTATACAGAGATACTGAGAGTGTAAATACAGAGATACTGAGGTTGTATATACAGAGATACTGAGGCTGTATATACATGGATACTGAGAGTGTATATACAGAGATACTGAGAGTTTATATACAGAGATACTGAGAGTGTATATACAGAGATACTGAGGTTGTATACAGAGATACTGAGGTTGTATATACAGAGATACTGAGAGTGTATATATAGAGATACTGAGGTTGTATATACATGGATACTGAGAGTGTATATACAGAGATACTGAGAGTTTATATACAGAGATACTGAGAGTGTATATACAGAGATACTGAGGTTGTATACAGAGATACTGAGGTTGTATATACAGAGATACTGAGAGTGTATATATAGAGATCCTGAGGTTGTATATACAGAGATACTGAGGTTGTATATACATGGATACTGAGAGTGTATATACAGAGATACTGAGGTTGTATATACAGAGATACTGAGGTTGTATATACAGAGATACTGAGGTAGTATATACAGGGATACTGAGGTTGTATATACAGAGATACTGAGGTAGTATATACAGAGATAACAAGGTAGTATATACATGGATACTAAGGTAGTATATACATGGATACTGATGTTGTCTATACAGAGATACTGAGGTAGTATATACAGAGATACTGAGGTTGTATAATCAGAGATAACAAGGTAGTATATACAGAGATACTGAGGTTGTATATACAGAGATAACAAGGTAGTATATACATGGATATTGAGGTAGTATATACATGGATACTGATGTTGTCTATACAGAGATACTGAGGTAGTATATACAGAGATACTGATGTTGTTAAATACAGAGATACTGAGAGTGTATATACAGATACTGAGGTTGTGTATACAGAGATACTGATGTTGTTATATACAGAGGTACTGAGGTTGTATATACAGAGATACTGATGTTGTTATTTACAGAGATACTGAGGTTGTATACAGAGATACTGAGAGTGTATATACAGAGATACTGAGGTTGTTATATATAGTGATACCGAGGTTATATATACAGAAATACTGAGGTTGAATATACAGAGATACTGAGGTTGTATATACAGAGATATTGAGGTAGTATATACATGGATACTGAGGTTGTATATACAGAGATACTGAGAGTGTATATACAGAGATACTAAGGTTGTATATACAGAGATACTGCAAGTGTATATACAGAGATACTGAGGTTGTATATACAGAGATACTGAGGTTGTTTACAGATATACTGAGGTTGTATATACAGATATACTGGGAGTGTATATACAGAGATACTGAGGTTGTATACAGAGATACTGAGAGTGTGTATACAGAGATACTGAGGTTGTATATACATGGATACTGAGAGTGTAAATACAGAGATACTGAGGTTGTATATACAGAGATACTGAGGCTGTATATACATGGATACTGAGAGTGTATATACAGAGATACTGAGAGTTTATATACAGAGATACTGAGGTAGTATATACAGAGATACTGAGAGTGTATATACAGAGATACTGAGGTTGTATACAGAGATACTGAGGTTGTATATACAGAGATACTGAGAGTGTATATATAGAGATACTGAGGTTGTATATACATGGATCCTGAGGTTGTATATACAGAGATACTGAGGTTGTATATACAGAGATACTGAGGTAGTATATACAGGGATACTGAGGTTGTATATACAGAGATACTGAGGTATTATATACAGAGATAACAAGGTAGTATATACATGGATACTGAGGTAGTATATACAGAGATACTGAGGTTGTATAATCAGAGATAACAAGGTAGTATATACAGAGATACTGAGGTTGTATATACAGAGATACTGAGGTTGTATATACAGAGATAACAAGGTAGTATATACATGGATACTGAGGTAGTATATACATGGATACTGATGTTGTCTATACAGAGATACTGAGGTAGTATATACAGAGATACTGATGTTGTTATATACAGAGATACTGAGAGTGTATATACAGATACTGAGGTTGTGTATACAGAGATACTGATGTTGTTATATACAGAGGTACTGAGGTTGTATATACAGAGATACTGAGGTTGTTTATATACAGAGATACTGAGGTTGTATATACAGAGATACTGATGTTGTTATTTACAGAGATACTGAGGTTGTATATACAGAGATACTGAGGTTGTATACAGAGATACTGAGAGTGTATATACAGAGATACTGAGGTTGTTATATATAGTGATACCGAGGTTATATATACAGAGATACTGAGGTTGAATATACAGAGATACTGAGGTTGTATATACAGAGATATTGAGGTAGTATATACATGGACACTGAGGTTGTATATACAGAGATACTGCGGTTGTATATACAGAGATACTGCGAGTGTATATACAGAGATACTGAGGTTGTATATACACAGATACTGAGGTTGTTTACAGATATACTGAGGTTGTATATACAGAGATACTGGGAGTGTATATACAGAGATACTGAGGTTGTATACAGAGATACTGAGAGTGTGTATACAGAGATACTGAGGTTGTATATACATGGATACTGAGAGTGTAAATACAGAGATACTGAGGTTGTATATACAGAGATACTGAGGCTGTATATACATGGATACTGAGAGTGTATATACAGAGATACTGAGAGTTTATATACAGAGATACTGAGGTAGTATATACAGAGATACTGAGAGTGTATATACAGAGATACTGAGGTTGTATACAGAGATACTGAGGTTGTATATACAGAGATACTGAGAGTGTATATATAGAGATACTGAGGTTGTATATACATGGATCCTGAGGTTGTATATACAGAGATACTGAGGTTGTATATACAGAGATACTGAGGTAGTATATACAGAGATACTGAGAGTGTATATACAGAGATACTGAGGTTGTATACAGAGATACTGAGGTTGTATATACAGAGATACTGAGAGTGTATATATAGAGATACTGAGGTTGTATATACATGGATCCTGAGGTTGTATATACAGAGATACTGAGGTTGTATATACAGAGATACTGAGGTAGTATATACAGGGATACTGAGGTAGTATATACAGAGATACTGAGGTTGTTATATATAGAGATACTGAGGTTGTATATACATGGATCCTGAGGTTGTATATACAGAGATACTGAGGTTGTATATACAGAGATACTGAGGTAGTATATACAGAGATAGTGAGGTTTATTATATAGAGAGATTCTGAGGTAGTATGTACAGAGATACTGAAGTGTAAATCACATTCACTTTGTTAAGCATGCTTTGCTTTTAGCATCAGAGTATCCAGAGGGGAGTGTTCAGGAACGTCAGAATTGGAAATGCCATTCAGCCCAATGAGCTGGGAGTTCCTCCTGCAGACTGGCTGCCTGTGGTATTAAAGCTGCTCGGTGACCTGTACAGAGATACAATGTATCGATAGTATTGACAGGATCCCAACATTCCACCTCTGACCATGCATGCAGACTGTGAGTGTGGCGCTCAAGGCAGCTCCCTCTCTCACCTGGAGTAAATCACCAGCCTCTCATGCCTTTATCTCTCCTGGACTGGGGAAAGTAACACATTGTAGTGATGGTGTCCCATCTCACGTGTCTTCTTCTGCTGGGATTGATCGGCATTTCCAAGAAGTCTGAAGGTTTGCCTTTCAATAGCAGCTTGAAGGAACCTTTCCAGATCCCCAACATCACTGGGTTTTTCTCCTGGAATAACTACAGCCTGGCTGACTGGCAGAGCTTTGTGGGCAAGAAACGCTATGGAGCAGAATCCCAAAACCCCATGGTGAAAGCCCTGCTTATCGTGGCTTATTCCTTCATCATCTTCTTCTCTCTGTTTGGGAATGTGCTTGTCTGCCATGTGGTTATCAAGAATAAGAGAATGCATTCAGCAACCTCCTTATTCATCATAAACTTGGCAGTGGCTGACATATTAATAACTCTCCTCAACACGCCTTTCACCTTGGTAAGGACTTCGATTAACACAAAACTCCTTTAGCAGAACTATAATATGCTTTAACATGTGCTTCGTATACTGTGTACTTGCATAGACGACTATCCTTGGAATCAGAGCTGTGATGGTGTGTTTTTAAATGTACATTTCTACTGAATATCTTCTTGATGGTGTCAGACCATGGAAGCATTTGTAGAAATAAATATTGAGGTTTATTATGTATGATAGAATTGAGACCAAAAGAGCCCTATCCAGGTTTAATATTCCAGTTATAAAATGTATAGATCATGGGCAAAAATCTGGGGGGAGAATTCTTAATTAGGCACTAATATACGAATGACTACAAGGCCCATCATCCTTGGGATAGTAATGACATTTTGTATCATTTTGAACATTGGGGAGACTGCAACAGCTGGAGTTTCAGTGTCGGTATAACTTTATTACATTAACATTATTACACTCAGGTTACATCAGTTCTGCTCACTTTCTGTGTCTCTCCACCTTTTACTTGGGTCTATATACTGTGCTGTTGAATACCAGGTAAGTGAACACAGGGTTGGCACTCAGAGGGTTAAATACTTATTATGTATATATATAAACAAAAGGTAGGATATCTGTCCAAACAGTGAGTCAATCATAAATGAATACATAACTTGACTTTATGTCCCTTCTTAGATTAGGAGTTAGGGAGACCTGTTTTAATTTGATGTGGATATTTATACAATTAAAGTGCTACCTTCATGTTTATATCAGCAACATATGTCACGGCTTTGTACAATGAGTAACTAAAGATACAAGTAGTTTGGGCTGTTTGTGGATTCAGAATTCCCAAACTGTCTATTATGTTTCAGGTGGAGAACAGCTATAGAAAAGCCAGGAGAGCAGATTCCTGGTCTTCAGAGCTTGCATGCTGCGTATATCTTAATGGTAGGCATATGCAATTCATAGAACTCTTACTATTATGTTTCCCAAATCTCATCATCCTAACTTGAAAAAAAATAAATGTCTAACTGACAAGTCACCACCACTCTGTCCCCAAATATCTGCTTCCAGGTTGTTAAAAAAGTAACAGGGCCACCACTTCACAGACTGCTAAATACACACACAGTCCGCTAAATACACACACACACAAACATACACACAGTCCGCTGAATGTGGGGGGTGGTGGTGATGTGTGTGTGGAGAGGTAGGGGTGCTGTGTGTGTGGAGGTAGGGGTGCTGTGTGTGGGGGGGGTAGGGGTGCTGTGTGTGTGGGGGGATGGGGTGCTGTGTGTGGGGGTAGGGGTGCTGTGTTTGGGGGTAGGGGTGCTGTGTGTGAGGGGTTAGGGGTACTGTGTGTGTGGGGTTAGGGGTGTTGTGTGTGGGGGGGGCTGAAGACACATTACTTTTTTTTATTTTTTTTAAACATATTGAATCAGTAAACCCCCCCCCCCACCTTCTTCTTACCTTTGGTGAAGGGGAGGGGGGGAACACAGCCATCCCTGGTGGTCCGGTTGTGTGTAGGACAGGAGTACAGGTCCTGCAGCTCTCCTGCCTGTCCTCCCGCGCGATGCTATGTGGAGCGTTGCCATGGTAACGCGTGGCAACGCACCACACAGCTCGTTGGGAGGACAGGCAGGAGAGCTGCTTCCTAGATGCCCCCCCCTGCTTCCGGTCCTGCCGCACGGAAGCAGAGTAGGCGCCTGCCGTTTTGGGCAGGCAGGTGCCTACTCAGCATTGATGAGGAACCTATGTCCGCGTGTCCACGGAGAGGGCCTGGCGTGCCATAGGTTCGCCATCACTGCCATAAGGCATTTCAGCTTTCTAAAGTGCTTTATCGGTGAGGAGTATCCTATTTTAACCCCCATTTATAAAACTGAGAAATCAACACTTGTATAATTTAATTATGGAACAGCCCCCCCAGCTGTCAGGGGAGATAACGGAAGTGGCAGGTGCTTGCCGCCTCACCCACACACCTCCAGCACCTCCACAGGCCTCAGACCCACTGGGAAACTCCACGCCTCCACAGGCCTCACCCACGGGGAAACTCCGTGCCTCCACTGGCTTCAGAACAGACGTTCGAGCAAGTGCGCACTAGCGCGCACACAGATTGAGAGGTGTTACAGTGTGAGATCTGGCTAAGGATGCAGTTCATAAGAGCTGCAGCTTTTGCAAGCACTTTTAAGATATATCCCCATTGAATACAGGTATGAAAATTGCATTTATTCACTGAGAGTATATGTACTAAGTAGTGATTTATGTTTTATATAAAAAACAAACAAAAAACAATCGTTTAAGCCTGCTACTCATACAGGGGAAAGGGGGCATTTAATGGATCTGCCATGCCAAGAATGAGGAAATCAGTGTTAGTGTCATGGCAGAAGCTGCTTGTCTAAATGTTTGTATTTGTCATTATACGCAGAGTTGTAAATTTGTGCAACTGAGTAGATGCACGTGTCCACCTTTTAGAGTTTGTCACTAAACCCAGCAGCTCTACACCAGCAGCTCTGGATTCTCTCCCAGGTGAAAGGATGCTACACATGCAAACACACATTTTGCTGCCCCCCAAAATGAGTCTTTGCCTGTGTGTCTTACAACCCCCCTTTTGTCCCTCTTACCCAACCTTTTTGCCCCTTTTGTGTCTTTTTCCCCATTTTAAGGATTATATCCACCTTTTGTGTTTTTATATCCCCTTTGTGGCTTCTTTTGTGTCTTATCCACCCTTTTAAATCTCACCCCCTTTAGTGTATATTATGATCTTTGTGCCCCTCTTGCGTTTCTTCCCCACTTTGTGCCTTTTAACTTCCCTCTGTCTCTTTTGCTCCCCCGTACATCAAGCAGCTTTGTGTCAGATTGGGTAGAGGAAGAAGAAAACCCTCTACCACGGTACAGATAGTGACAGTCAATAGGGGGGAGCTCTGTGTACCCTAACCTGCCAGTCCCTTTAAAACCCTTTAAAATCAACCCACCTTTACTGTGGCACCAATCTGTCTGATTGTGTTCCAGAGCACATGAAGTACAAGGAACTATGAGGGTCATTTTTAAAGTTAAAATAGCCAAACTGGATAAATTCTGTAAATCAGCGATGTTTCCCTTTGGCCTTAAATTTGAAAATCACTTTGAATTGACATTGAATTCTCACTTTAGTAAATAAGCCTGTACATTCTCCCCAAACCATTTCAGGTAAAATAGTTGTTGGTCATTTTTGTCACTGTTACAGATTGGGTTTGTTCATTATCTAGTCAAATATAAGTGATCGACTCTATCTTTGTGCAAACTTGGCTGTCAATAGAGAAATTTAAAAAAAGTTTTTATTTGTTAAGTACCGTATATACATTTTTTGTGCTGAAAAAACCCCACTTGTCTTATACTCGAGTCAATGTCTGTATTATGGCAACTTATATTGCCATAATACAGACCAGGACCGCCGGGCTCATTACAAGCCCAGCGTTCCTGTTGGGGGCTGGCAGAGAGCTGTTACTTACCTTTCCTGCAGCTCCTGTCAGCTCCCTTCACCTCCGTGCCGGTCAGCTCCCTTCTCCTCCACTGTAAGTCTCGCGAGAGCCGCGGGGTAAGAGCGTTGCCACGGGTTAATGCCACTGGACCACCAGGGAATGAGAGCCCCCCTCCCTGGCCAGCTAACAAGCAGGGAGGGGGGACAAAAAAATATAAATACAAATTTAAATAATAATATAATAAAACATTTATAATATTAAAATAAAATAAAAATAATAATATTAAAAAAACACAAAATTTAATATTAAAATAATAATAATAATTAAAAAAAAAATGCCCACCCCCCCACCATGGTTACACACTCTGCATTACACACTGCATTCATACACACACACACACTGCATTCATACACACACACTGCATTCATACACACACTGCATTCATACACACTACACACACTGCATTCACACACACACACTCTGCATTATATACACACACACTGTATTCATTATATACACAAAATAAATATTAAATTAATGTAATTTTTTGGGGGATCTAATTTTATTTAGAAATTTACCAGTAGCTGCTGCACTTCCCACCCTAGTCTTATACTCGAGTCAATAAGTTTTCCCATTTTTGGGGGGTAAATATTAGGGGTCTCGACTTATATTCAGGTCGACTTATACTCGAGTATATACGGTACTGGTACTTAATTAAAAAAAAATAATAATTAAAATAAGAAATACTCATTCTAACAAAGTATTCAATAAATAGCCTTTTTTTTCTGCTATACCCTTGGTGCAAACCATTACACACTGCACATGGCTATGAATACCCCCTAGGGACCCACATGATATGAGCAGCCAGTGTGAACAGGTAGGTTAACGGTAAGTAGGTACAGGCAGGTAAACAGGTAGGTTAATGTGATGTTATCCTCCAGGGAACCGAGGAAAAAATTGTCTTGTCTTGATTTTTTTTCCTACCTAATTAAGTTCCCAGAATCCCAGCCTATCACATGACATATCACTGGAAAACCCAGGCTGTCCGCTTTACAATACAGCAGGGATTGATAGAGTAGCTCAAAATAATAAAAGGAGATGCATGTGAATGAAATGTCCAGTACAAAGGACACAAGTTAATGGGCTGGGTCTCAGGAGGATGTGTGGGCAAAGCCCATGTGAGGTCTGGTGGGACAAATGACAGCAGTGTTCTAGCGTTAATCCCAGCACATAATGTGAGCCAACAACTACACTCACATATCTGGCACTTCGAGGGTTAATTGTCTAGCCATTACAGATGGCAGCGTGAGGTTTAAGGCAGCATTAGAAGATGACTTTACAAAGTGTTAAAATATAATAAATATTAAATACTGTGAGATTACTAAAAGTCAACGTAGGATTTAAAAATTTTTTCTGTATAAGTCATCTATAAATCTAAAACCGATACCTAATATTCTTACAATGCTCCCAAACCAGGGCATTTAACTCCTGATGGCTGTGAACGTGCTGCCTGCACTTTAAGGCTCCTTGTGCTAATATATAGTATGTTTACCTAGAACATTAATAATATAGATCACCTTTTTATTACTGTCAGCCCGTGCTTCTTCCAGCTTGGTATTTCATTACTGTCTGCCATTTGCATTTATGTCATTCCTGAACATTTAGACACCTTCTCTAGCCCATAGCTTGTCTGCAGCTCAGTCTAGGAATAGAAAATTCTTATATATCAGGGTATTGTTTGTGAAGGGGGCTGGGTTGTGGGGTCAATATTTCTAGTAATAAATGAAAACATATTCGCCAAAAATCACTAAATATGGAAGAACCAGCAGAAACACATTCAATTGAGTCCTATGGGATGCTTTTATTGAATAAGATCAATGATTCGACCTTGACGGACACAGATTTTATCTTGTTTCGAATTTCCATTCATTTTGGTTTTCTGCAATATTTATGCGTTAAGCGTACAAATCTCATGAAAGTTAAGAGGGTTTCCTAATCAGATTTCTCAGAATGAAATAACACAGGAAAAGGCTAGGGAATGACTGCTACGTCTGTATTTCTTTTAATCGAAAGCTTGGATTTCTTCATGTTGAGATGTTCTATTTCCGTTTATAATAATTCACATTATAATTCACTGGGAGTTGGAGATGCTGAAATCCCATTCAGGAAGAAACGTAAGGGCTGATCAAAAGGATAAAGGCAACGAAAGCGAACCTTTAGATCCCCAGCTGTTGTTGACAAAATGCTCTCAATGTCTGGATGAGTTCTGATTGAATGTTATATGTTGACCGGGATGGTAAATGAAGTCTGAAATGTTACTTTGATTTAGGAGTTTATTCATTCAAGAGTGGACCCACAAGGTGAGAATCTTAAATTGCTAGCAGAATTATCATCTTGAATATTTACCATAATGTTATAAGACACCCGAGCCAAAATAGCCAGCATACCAATAGGGAGAGGAGCTAGAAGGGCACCCCATGTGAATCTGAGCTAAAGACGGAACGTTTCCCCCACTGAACGAGGTCCTGAGCCAGATGCTCTATTACGGGGCCCCATTGGGATTTCCCCTAAGGCAAGGCTCTTACCCTTATTGCTCTACACCAGTGGCCCTGTGACAACACGCACTCCCTCAAGGGACTCAATGCAAACCATAACCAACCAGCCAGTGTTTAGATACGCTGGCCTACTTGTGAAATCAAGCCTACTCCTGACTGCCTACCCACAGTTTATTGTCAGTTAAAGCCTGTCGGCTTGGTAATGTCAATGTTTACTCTATCCCGAAGTGCACTCAGTGGCAAACCGGGAAAGATACCCTCTGTACATCTTTGCTTACCACCTGCGCTGTGTGGTTCGCCCTCCCCCCCTCCGCCCCCTGTGAATATACTCCGTCCCTTGCTGAGGGGGGGGAGGTATGACTGGCATACACGCGGGGGGAGAGGTGGGCTTATTGGGGGGGGATTGACACATGGAAAGGTAACAGGGGAGGGGGGAAGGCAGGGGACAGGTGGCAGAACGTAAGGCAGAGGGGGATGGGAGGACAGGGGACGAATACCCCAAGACACCGCCTAAAGGCACCAGGGAGGGAGAGGGGGGACATACGAGGAAGGGGGGAAGGGGAGGAGGGGGGGGGAGAAAAAGACCCCAGACGACTAATCTAAGGAAGACTAAGCGACAGCCCATAGGTTGACCTACACACGACCACCCCTATCGGACCCCAGAGGGAAAGTTGGGACCCAGCCCGCCGCATAGGCCGCACACTGCAACACACGCTCGCCTAGCCGCAGAGCGGCCCCTGCTATGGCCTATAACACTGACGCCACTATAGCGGCGGAGACCCAACACACCATAGTAGGGGCAGCCACACTGACACGCCGAAGTGATAGGACGCACAGAGACCACGCCCCGAGCACACAGGACCCACACTCCCCTCACAACCATATGACCGGAGAGAAACGAGAGATCAAGGGTCGACGCATGCCCTGACACTAAAGACCACCCACCCAGAAACCACACCTGCAGGACACTACTTGCAGACCACACCAGCAGAGCTAAACCCCACCAGACACACAGCTACAACTTGCATGCCCCCAAGCAGGGACTCACAAACCGTGACCACGCCCGCGACATGACACACTGGTCGAGTGACACCACTGCAGCGCAGAGCGCTCAGCCAACAGAGAAATACGACGCACTACAGCCAACATGACCCGCATACACCGACCCGCATACGTACTATAAAGAACGGACGGAGCGGCTGCTCCAGCCACATAGCCACCAAGGAGACAGGTGACTACATACCACGTATCGTACACGGTACCACACTCCACACCTACACGGAATCGCGGACGCCTAAGGGCGGCCCGAACTTACTCGGACGTATAACCCGACCCCCCCCCACAGGCATAGGACATAAAAGTCCCCACTTAGCAGGGGACGAACCACTCCCGACACCAACACAGGCACACCACTGGGTGTGACCTGGAGGCCGAACACTCGGGACGCTTGTCCGATTTCCTTTACACACGTAAAGACTAAATAGACAGTAATTACCTACACAGCCACATTCTGTACCCGGACGCACCGCTGACTGCACCAAATAACACACGTATACACTTTTAAGACCTGCCACCTCGCCCCCTCGGTCCCGCCCGGACGATGCCGACGCCGGGATCCAGCGGATTCGCCAGGGAGGACCTATGCATAGTCTCCTATAATGTCCACGGCCTGAACGTCAGAGAGAAACGCACAAGACTACTGCGTGACCTGAAACATTATAAGGCTTCGATAGCATTCCTCCAGGAAACACACTTCCAGGAAGGTAGGGCACCTGCCCTGAAAGACCGTAACTTCCCAACGGGATACTTCAGCCACAACCCAGACAGACGCTCGCAGGGAGTATGCATCCTCTTTTCACGACGAGTCCCGTACATGGAGCGAGCCACCGTAAGATGCAAGCACGGCAGATACCTTTTCACAAAAGGCACAATCCTAGACCAAACGTATACGTTCGCTAATGTGTACGCTCCGAACACTAAACAATATCACTTCCTACGCGATACATTGAACACTCTGATGAAATTCGCAGAGGGCACCTTGGTCATAGGCGGAGATCTCAATCTAGCGATCCATCCAGACCAGGACTCAACATCCCCGCATGGGAACACACCACACAACAGGCATGCCAACACCCTCCGCCTCCTACACCTCCACCAGCTCGCAGACTGTTGGCGGGCATTACACCCCTCCACCCGGGACTATACGTTCTACTCTACGACCCACTCGACCTATACAAGACTGGACTACTTCCTGGTACCTCACCACACCCTAACCCTGCTCACCACCGCGGAAATCTTACCTATGACATGGTCGGACCACAGCCCAATCCGCATACGACTGAAATCACCACTACATAAACCCAGACAAATGTCATGGCGACTGAACGAATCACTCCTATCAGACATCGCGGTTGTAGACCAGATCCATCAACGCATCCAGGTGTACTTTGAAGACAACGAAACGGGGGATGTTACCCCACTGACGTGCTGGGAAGCGCACAAAACGGTTATTCGAGGCCAGCTCATCGCGATATGTGCGACCCGCAAGAAGAGGGACGATACATGACCTCAGCACGGAAATTGAGATGTTAGAGGCCAGACACAAACGCACCTTAGACGCGACGACCTACGAGGACCTACTGTCCAAACGGAACCAACTTACCACACACCTGAACCGCGCAATCCAACGCTCATACCAACATTATAAACATGTGATCCATGAACACGGGGACAAATGCGGGAGACTGTTAGCGAATCTCCTGAAGCAACGCAGGAACCATCTATATATCCGGAAAATCAAGGACGCACAACAACAACTCAGACACTTACCGGAACAGTTTTCGGCAGCATTCCATGCGTACTACCAAAACTTATACGGCCTCCGACACACCGCTCCGGAGATGCCAAGAACCCAAAAACTAGAGGACATTCGCAGATACCTGGATGCAGCTGATATACCGGGAATAGGGGAAGTAGACCAGGAAGCACTAGAAGCCCCCATAACCCCAGAGGAGCTAGCGCAAGCCATCAAAAAAGCAAAAACGGGCAGAGCACCAGGACCAGATGGCCTACCCCTCCAATATTATAAAACCTTTGCAGGGGACCTAATACCGAAACTCTTGGCGGCACTGAACTCGGCCCAGGACGGGGCCACACCAACGGCCCAATTCACCTCGGCGAACATTACCCTCCTTCCGAAGGAAGATAAGGACCGGACACTATGCCCAAGCTATCGCCCGATCTCTGTACTGAATACGGACCTCAAATTACTGGCGAGTGTACTGGCGGCACGCCTGGCACCGTTACTACCGGCCGTAATCCACCCGGACCAAACAGGTTTCATACCTGGCAGGGAGGTACGGGACAACACTATCAGAGCCCTGAACCTCATAGCACAGAAGATCCCAGCCCTACTCCTGTCTACTGATGCTGAAAAAGCGTTCGATAGGGTGGACTGGGACCTGATGTTCGAAACTCTCCGCTCCCTCGGCATCGGGCCCAATTATATGACATGGGTGCAGACACTCTACACCAACCCAATGGCGCGCATCCGGATAAATGGCGCACTGACAGACCCGTTTCAGATCTACAACGGCACCAGGCAGGGATGCCCGCTCTCGCCCATACTCTTTGCACTGACACTGGAGCCCTTCCTCAACAAGATCAGACACAACGCAGACATCCGGGGACTGACAGTCAGAAACGTGCACCACAAAACGCTGGCGTACGCGGATGACATGTTGTTCGTGGTTACGGACCCGGAGACGTCCCTTCGAGCGATCCAGACGGAATTCGACGTGTATGGCAACATCTCGAAACTCCGAATTAACTACACAAAATCGGAGATACTAAACATAACTACCAGCCAAACCATCAAACGCGTGATTCAGGAACAACACTCCTACCGCTGGCGTGACCAACGCATGAAATATCTGGGAATATGGCTTACGCCCAATCCGGTAGACCTCTACACCCACAACTACCTCCCGATATTGAGAAAGGCAACGGAGGAACTACAACGATGGGGCTCCTACTACATCTCCTGGCTGGGCAGAGTGAACGCGGTGAAGATGACGCTACTGCCGAAACTACTCTTCATATTTCAAACGGTGCCGATAAAAGTCCCACGAACATTCTTCTCGACACTTAAGACGGAGGTCCGCACCTTTATTTGGAAGGGCAAATCCCCACGCATAGCGCACACCCAACTGATCTTACCCAAGCTCCGGGGGGGCTTAGCACTCCCAGACTTCGAAAAGTACTACCACGCAGCACACATCACCAGGGTCATCAGCTGGTCGATAGCCAGCGGCACCAAGCAGTGGCCACAACTAGAAGCTGGCATAACCAACTGCGACCTCAGAACCCTACCGTGGATCACCAAGGCAGCATATAGGAGCAAACGCATCACCAACCCATTCGTGGCAGCGACCATGCAAGTGTGGCATGGGCAAGGCACGAAACGATACCTCACCACGGACCCAGGCCCGCTCCTACCCATGAAGGGTAACCCAGATTTTCCGGCTGGAGACTACGGCCCAACGCTGGGCCCAGCAAGACGCAATACGATACCCCGCATAAAAGACGTTCTCCACCAACCATTTGACATCCGGCCACTGGAAGAACTATACCCAGACAGGCCGCACACATTTGCCCACGCCCTAGCAAGAACGCAAATTACTCAATATGCTAGATCCATCCCGCAAAAACCTTCCCTACTGAGAGACTTAACGCAATTTGAACTTCTATGCACGCAGGACAGGGAACCTCCTCGTGCCATCTCACAAATCTACACTATCTTAATCACGAGCAGATACCTACTAGCACCCCCGTGCATCAGAAAATGGGAGGAGGACCTTGAGGAACCTATGACAGACGCGGACTGGGACAAGAGCATTACCCTAATACAAAAGACACCGAGCTCGGCACGCTCCCAAGAAAACTCGTACAAGATCTTTACTAGATGGTATCTGACGCCGACGGCGCTACACGCCAGAAACCAGGAACTCGAAGACACATGCTGGAGATGCGGGGAGGAAGCTGGTACGTTTATACATATATGGTGGACGTGCACTCGCATCAGACCGTTCTGGGACAGAATTAGGACAATCATACACGAGGTCACGGAGGAGCTCCTGCCACAGTCCCCAGCCGCCTTCCTCCTACACCACACCACCATGGCGACACAAACATACAAGAGATCGGCTATCCCTCGACTTCTGAATGCAGCTAAGGTGACCATCCCCATCTTCTGGAAACAGACCAGCACACCTCCCATAAAGAGGTGGATAGAGGAGGTGGAAGCCACGAGATCATTCGAGGACTTGAAAGCAGAAACCCCGAACCTCAGGGACCGATATACCAAACGCTGGTTCCACTGGATGAGACTGATCTCGTCAGACTCCTTCCGGCACCATTTAACCACACCGTAACTAGTGGCAGGAGGAAGGGACCCAGGGAGACACAGGAGGCGAAAAGATGACGACGGGGCACAACGGGCCGGGCGGGGGACAGGGGGCGGGACACAGGACACATGGCCCACCCGACCCGATCCCACACACAGACGCCACAGCGACTGCCACTGCTGACTAAGACAGCCACGACGCCCGCAGACATGACGGCATACACGTGCCACACACATAACCACCGGCCAGGCCGCAACCGCTCGAGGGATGGCTAGGTATACAGCCCTCGCATGAACAGATGACAGATAACACGCCGCACACTAGACCCACCACCTTGCCGCACCCTACCTCTGGACGAACAAGACATAGAATGACTACAAAATCAGGTGACAGACCAGACAATGGAGTCACGAAGACAGAGGGCCAAAGGTGTCAGACACACCACTCGAAGTAACACACGATCATACATGCACGACACAGACACGAGAGACCACGAATCACATACACGCAGACCATGCCAACAGACCGCTCCACATCATCGGACACCACTGCAGGACATATACGAGACGTCAAATACGACAGCAGAGAACTCATACTCTGACGTTAGGACATGACAGAGTTGTTAACCTCGCGACATAGACACAAGTCGATGGACATTTAAGCCGGAGAGGAGGGGAAGACATAGCCGACACAACACTGAACGTAACCCAAGCAACACACATCACACGTGCGACATGCACACAACGGAGGAGACGCAACGAATGACCCAACTCACGTGAACAACGCCAAAGGGCCGACACTAACTACAGCGGCTACAGTAACTGACCACCCCAAAAAGATACATTGCTCCATGCAACATAGTGAGGGACTACATCCTACACTAATATAGGTATAGGCAAACACATACAGAGAAACACCCTAAGGGTCGTTACAGACCTGTTCAAGCACTACCGTGTCGCTCACGGACAATACCTAACCACTACGCTTCTCCCCAAGATATACACCGATACAGCGACTATTTAAATGCAGTTACGCAACACACAACCGGGTCTCGCAAAGGCAACAAGACGCCAGCTAGATACAAAATGTTGACTACAACCACAATGTTTAGGATGCAATAAGTTAGTGAGGTTGCCTGTACACCGCACTGTTATTAGAGCTGACACATAGTCTGTTCCCCCTACTCTATATGCTTACTCTAAAACGACATACAGGCGCCTAGAGGGTAAATGCCTAAAAATGTTACTGTATTAAACGCTATACAACATCTGGCGGGTACACAAAGCCTCTGCGAAGGCCACAACCTGTGAACCTGTTCATGCAAATATAACCGGGCCTCCACGCAGGCACGGACCCGCCACTTTAACACTACGTTTGCAATGTACTATGCTAGGAATCTAACAACTAGATGCCACGGATAAGAATATATGGCACATAGCAACGAAAGGTGAACAACAATGTCACGCTAAACGGTCCTCTGCGCAGGCAACCGAATGTTTCCACCGTTATAAATTGATGCTTAAGCCCCTGCGCGGGCAATCACTTGCTTCGTTATTTGACAAAACAGTTTGATACATGCATCCATGTTATGAATACAATAAAAATATTTAAAACCATAATGTTATAAGACCCTTGCCTTGGTGACATCATCAAAAGTGCCGCTTTTTAGTCAATCCAATGCTTTCCCATGGGGAAATATATGAGGAAATTTCAGCGTCTCCATGCAGAGCGTGGGGACGCTGAACGGCAGGGCTGCTTACTGTGCAGCCCTGGGCCAGGAAGCCCTTCCAGTAGCCATCTGAGTAGTGGCCACTTGGAGGTGTCCCTAGGGGCAATGTAAACACTGCCTTTTCTCTGTAGGGAGCTATTATACTCACCAGCACAACTACATTAAGCTGTAGTTGTTCTTGTGACTATAGTGTCCCTAACAAAAAACACATTTTCTACCTGCAGCACCCTCCCCTCACACACAGCACCCCCTCACAAACAGCACTCCTCGCCCCACACAGCACCCCCCACACAGCACCCCTATTCCCCACACAGCACACCTCCCCCCTCACATACAGCACCACCCCCACACACACAACACTCCTCCCCCCACACAACACCCCCTACCCCCAACACACAACACCCCCACACACAAAGAACTCCTCCCCCCACACAGCACCCCCCTCACACACACAGCACATCCCACTCACACACCGCACCCCTCACACACACAGCAACCCTCACACACACAGCACTACACACACACACTGCACACCTCAATGCAGTATGTGTGTGTATTCAGCAGTCTGTATGTATTCAGCAGTCTGTGTGTGTGTGTATTCAGCAGTCTGTGTTTGTGTGTATTCATTTAGCAGATTGTGTGTATGTATTTAGCAGTCTGTGTGTACTTAGCAGTCTGTGTGTAATTGGCTCTCTGTGTGTGTGTATTCAGCAGTCTCTCTGTATGTGTATTCAGCAGTCTGTATGTAATCAGCAGTCTGTGTGTGTGTATTCAGCGGACTGTGTACGTATTCAGCAGACTGTGTACATATTCAGCAATCTATGTGTATGTTTGTGTGTGTGTGTATTCAGCGGACTGTGTGTATGTAGTCAGCAGTCTGTCTGTGTGTGTATTTAGCAGTCTGTATGTGTATTCAGTCTGTGTGTATGTCAGTGTGTGTATGTATTCAGCAGTCGGTGTGTGAATGTGTTCAGCCGTCTGTGACTGTATTCAGCAGTCAGTGTGTATGTATTGCATTTGTTGGAGATACTAATAAATATAAGCTTAATTTTATCTATAATTTATATCATTATTTATAATTTGTATCATTGAACTCTCTGTTGTTGTGTTCTTCTTATAAATAAAATATGTTAATTAGTTTGGACAACTGTACGAGTTGTTCTTTCTAAACGTAAACCTCAGTATTCAGGTTTAATTGCCGTGTTTGCACTTTGAGAAAAAAAACATTGGAATATATTGCGGCAGTGATTGCTCAAAAAGGTTCACAATCACTGCTTTAGAGTAAGAATGAAGTGGCGGAATGCTTTGAAATGTGACAAAGAAAGAAGAAATATGTTTTTTTACTTTCACGGACATTGTAAATGAAGAAGTGAATGTAGGGTCATTGTACACATTGTGATTTTGCTATAGAGTATATTGAGCTATCCACAGGGACTCTGCATAGGGATAGGAATACAATACAAGAAGGACATATAACAATTGTGAGGAAAAAATAGCAACTAAAATGTCATCCTTAACTGAAATATCCAGTGGGGAGATATGAAATATTAATAATTTCACAGTTTCAATTGTCAGGCTATCGTTTAAAAAAAATTAGACTTTGAGTACATGTAGTACACTAGGTAATGATACGTCAATGACCTCAGTGTTTTCATTCAATCACACCCGCAGAAGCAGGACAAAGGAAATATTTGTAACAAAGGACTGAATTCTACCTCATCACTGTGGCAGAGGAAGGGGCAGAGTCCTGGGAACAGCTCCAGTTTTTGTCAAACATCTCCCAAAAGGTTTTACTAACAAACAAAAGACCAGCACCCAGTGACTATACTATCATAAATACTGCACCCAACTGTGATTGTATTTACTTAGAGTTACACTTTAATTTAGAAAACATTGGGTTTTAATGCACCACAATTCAGCAAAAACAAAAACCAATCACCTAAACTCAGTGCAAAATCTTGCAAAAATATGTTTCAACATACCAACACATTTGTATTGGTAGATGTATATTGCTGGGCATATTGGCCGTATCAAATGATAACTATGGTTTAACTATGACTGTTTTTTGAGAATTATAATGCAAATTGTTTGCCAAAATTTATGTTGTTCACTCATACTATAAAGTAGAGGTGAACAAAAGTTCATTTTAAGACAAGGACTTACATAGAAACATAGAATGTGACGGCAGACAAGATCCATTCGGCCCATCTAGTCTGCCCAATTTTCTAAATACTTTCACTAGTCCCTGGCCTTATTTTATAGTTAGGATAGCCTTATGCTTATTCCACGCATGATTAAACTCCTTTACTGTGTTAACCTCTACCACTTCAGCTGGAAGGCTGTCCCATGCATCCACTACCCTCTCAGTAAAGTAATATTTCCTGATATTTTTAAACCTTTGCCCCTCTTGTTGTTGTTGTCCTCTTGTTGTGGTAGTTTTTCTTCTTTTAAAGGACCACTATAGTGCCAGGAAAACATACTCGTTTTCCTGGCACTATAGTGCCCTGAGGGTGCCCCCACCCTCAGGGACCCCCTCCCGCCCGGCTCTGGAAGGGGAAAGGGTTAAAAACTTACCTTTTTCCAGCGCTGGGCGGGGAGCTCTCCTCCTCCTCTCCCCTCCTCCTGGCTGAATGCGCACGCGCGGCAAGAGCTGCGCGCGCATTCAGCCGGTCGCATAGGAAAGCATTTACAATGCTTTCCTATGGACGCTTGCGTGCTCTCACTGTGAAAATCACAGTGAGAAGCACGCAAGCGCCTCTAGTGGCTGTCAATGAGACAGCCACTAGAGGATTAGGGGGAAGGCTTAACCCATTCATAAACATAGCAGTTTCTCTGAAACTGCTATGTTTATTATATAATGGGTTAACCCTAGCTGGACCAGGCACCCAGACCACTTCATTAAGCTGAAGTGGTCTGGGTGCCTAGAGTGGTCCTTTAAATATAGTCTCCTCCTTTACTGTGTTGATTCCCTTTATGTATTTAAATGTTTCTATCAAATCCCCCCTGTCTCATCTTTCGTCCAAACTATACATGTTAAGATCCTTTAACCTTTCCTTGTAAGTTTTATCCTGTAATCCATGAACCATGACTTAATGAACGTCAAATTGATTCTGTACAAGAGAACATGAAAATAGGAATTCTCTTGATCCATGGCTTTAAATATACTTCAAGTTAGGTATTATTATGCAAGAGAAAGACTCATACTTGTCATAAATGTATCCAAAGCTGTATGGATGACACAAGGTCGACGTGTTACAACTAAATGTAACATTTGTCAACCAAGGTGATATTTCTGAAATATCAGTACCCTAAAATATGCCAACGGGATTGGCATAATTTAAAAGAAAAAAGGTATAAAGAATAAAATGCAACAAAGTCAGCATGTCGATGTGTGAAGACACAAAGGACAGCTAGGTGGACCAGAGGTGGGTTACACGAAGAGTAATACCCATGAAGCTCAGAAGATGGCAGCGTAAGAACGGAGCTGAAAAGACTATGCATCAATATTTTAGAGTGAATATATCACATATCTTTGTCCTAAATCATATATTCAGTGTATTTGGGGGCGATTTAAGGTAAGTTGATGTTTCCTTGACAGGTTCACTTTAAAGAATATTTCTGGTATAGCCAGGAATTATTTTATCAAAGAGACATTGGGGGAATTTTTAATTCAGTGTTCTGTTCTGTTCTAAAAAGGGATCTAAAGTATTAAAAGTGGTAGCAATCACCATGGAAACCAGTGGAGCCAGTAGCCACATTCCATTGGTTCCACATTTTAGAAATCTCAGAATTTAGCTCCTAAACAGACAGTCTCTGAACTCTGCAGTTACTTAGCATTGAACACAGGTCAGTTTAAAACTGTCAGTACTCCTACCAAGACTGTCAGGGCTACCTGTAATTATTATGCATCTACATCTTAAGTCAGCATGAAATCATTGTGTTACTTAGCTGTCACAGATACCTGGCACTATCCTAAAAAGAGCCTTAAAAGTAAGAATTTTGGAACATATTAACAACATTGAAAAAGGTCTTATGTCACATTCAGTCCCCGTACACCGTAATTCCTGACCTTTAACACCAGGTGGCTTCAAATGTACTGGTACTGAAAAAGTGCTTCCGCATTAAAGGTGGCAACGATTAGGTTAAAAAACTGGCCCAACGTGAGACTTATTGGATTCAAAATTGCAAACCTTGTAACCTAGGAGACTGAATGTAGACATAGACTTGGCTTGTTTTTTGTGAACTTGGATTGGGTTTCCTCTTTTTATTTGTATGGTTTTTTTTTTAATTCCTACTAATTTTGTTTTTTGTATTCTTTTTTCTTTGGTTCTTCTTCTGGGTACAGACACTTCTGTATACTCTGATATTATTGGTATGTGTTGTATAGGCATATATGTAGATTAGTTTTATGAGTCACATTAATTAACATATGATATAAACTTTACAGGTTACTATGGAGTCTGTATAAGAAAGTATCATTAAAAACTGATGCTACATGAATATTTTTTTTAGAATTATGCATCTGTCATATGAGCTAACCACTTTCTCCCTTTGAGCGGACAGACTCTCTGTGTTACAAACGAACAGCATTTAGAGCTGTCTTTTTCGTTCATAAAAGGTGTTTAACACAATACATTTAGCAAACACCAGGAAGCGATTTTCTTAAGAGGTTTCACTAATGTAAGACTTGTCAGGAATTCAAATTAAATTTAAAATATACAGGGTCAGTCCAACTAAAAAACGCTGAAATGAACCAGACAACAACTAGATGCGCTTCCGGAATAATACTGGTCTTTTCATCCGCTAACTGCATGAGAATATCCAGTGTAAGCTATTTCCCCATAGGAAAGCATTGCTTCAATGCTTTCCTATAGGGAGGGCCTAATGCGTGCACAGCACTCGCCATGCATGCACATTAGCGCCCACTCGTTTTCTGACGGAGAGGGTGGAGCTGTGACCCCGTACCGAGGGACATCGGCCCTGGGATCAGCTATGTAAATAAAGGATTTTTAACCCTTTACTCACCACGGTGACGGGCGATAGGGAGGGGGAGGCCTTATTCCTGGCACTATAGTATCTTGTTAATGAGTAAACAGTAAGACAGAGGTAAATGGCACTAACTTTAGCTATTTTTTTTTCTATCCTGAACACTATAAAGCTGTCAGGAATTTTAGTAACCTTTATCCCCTAATCTGCAAACCATATATAGTGAAAAGGAACTTGTGGGTTAAGTAAACCCTGACCCAGAGGCTCCAAAGTAGAGGGTAAAACTTTCAGCATCAATAGACAAAAACACCAAAGGTGTTCTTTTGTCTATTAATCTGCAAACCAACCATCAGCATTGTGTAAAATTAAAATAATGCCACCATATTTATGCTTATACAATTGTTTTTATTTATAATTTAAAAAGCATTCATAATGAAAACAAATGTCATTTTAAAAGCATATTTATCTGTGATCTCCAAATACACATGGTGAGTGTTAATGCTGTTATTTTAAATACTCTTGCAGGAGACAGACTAAAGAAATGCCTTTTATCTTGTATTCACAGAATTCCAATGTCGATAGAAGTGAATTCCTTTCTCTAAACTGATAACAATATCCATTTATATAACAATACAATAGACATTCCATGTTATAAATTAAATAATACATGATAATAAAAATAATAATATATTATTCAATGTTTCTAGCAAAGCAGTCATGGCACATTAAAAAAATTAAATAATGTGTTATTTTTCCCTCGGGGTCTACAGTTTGCTCAATATCTTGATTTTCTTGTGAATGTTCTTAGAACAGAATGTAGCTACGCTCCAGGGTTTTGTGGTTGGTGAAACAATTTTGCAAGCCTAATGAGACAATAAAATGTTCCTGGTATGAAATACTTTTCCTTTTTATTGCATCAATGCACCTTTGCTATTAGAATTATTTAATTATATGCATGTAACTTCTTAGAGAAACTTAATCCCAATAGTCAACACAATTAATTTATAATTAAATGTTACATAAATTACATAAACTAATTCATTCCATGTCTATCAGAAATGGAACCAAAATAGGTAAGAATTACCCCAGTGGGCTTCAGTTGGTTCAATTAATTATGTTTTTATTCAATTTTTTTGAAATTTGGAAATAGAATCTACCATATTCGAGACTACTAATGCTCCACAAGGGGGAGCACCTGAGCTGAAGTTATCTTGGTATTTACTAATTTGACATTAAATTTGATAAAATATGAATATTAAACATGATTAACTTTAAATATGGAAAATAGCTTACCTTACATGCTAAATCTCAACAAGAGTATGCTTTCGTGCATTCCAGTACTTAAAATGTTATTTCAACATCCTCCGTAGTATCCTCCTTGATCTCAGATATAATTCCTGATACTATTTTTCTTACACCTTGCCCTTTTCTATTCAACCTAGATTTCCCCATAATGGAGAAAAAAATATAAATATCTGATTACTCATTTTCTCTATGCACTTAAAATATCTATAGCTCGTAATTGGAAATCCAGCCAACCTTCATTATGGCAAGAAAAAAATAAACAAAATAGATTATCAATATAGAAAAATGTAAATGGGTGGGTGGTGAAATAGATGATAAATAATGCAGGCAAGCCACTGTCATGAGGTCACCTCTATAACTAAAAACAACAAAAAAGGAGCTTCTTCTGAGGAAGTCAGATCGCGGCGAAACGCGTTGAGCAGTTACAAGAGCCCTGCATCTTTGGTAAAGCAGTCTTTTTTCTACTAGTATACTGTTATTTGTGTAATGTGTAATTTTTAGGAAGTGACTTAACTATCTTTGCACTTTGGCACTTGCACTTTTATATACAGCAACTTGTATGTTCTAAGCTGCTATCCATAAGGGCATCTTAGCCTTGTGTGGCTTTTTATTATATATCTTGCGATTTTGCACTATTGTGTGCTATTGCTTATTTTATTTTTATTCATAATAAAGTGGATTTTCCTTTTTCATTGATGGTCTCTTCCATATATGGAAATCTCCAGATGTAATTTTTTTCTTTTTCTATTTGACTGTGGCGCCCTGTTTTTTCTGGTTTAATATTCAGGATTTTGTTGTTTTTAGATTATCAATATATAATGGAGAGTCATTTTATAGCTATATCCGGAAAATCTTTCTCTTATCGAGACTCATGGAATTCCTGTTTTTTATAGAAAAAAAGGGAAATGTATTGTAGGATAAGAAGGGGAAAAAGGAAAGAAAAAGGGGAGGAAAGCTATAGGGAAAGAAAGGAAGGAAAGGAAAAGGAGAAAAGAAAGAAGGGAAAAAAGAACTCTTGGATACCTATTTCCCCCATACTTAATATCGGGCCCTGGACACTGCCGTCTTTATATTTGTTTATATTTGCTCTTATAGTTCCCTTAAAATCATGATATTATCGTGTTGATACTTTTCTATATGTGCTTATTATCTTAATCCATCAAATCCTCGCATGTAAATGTTTCACATGTTTACTGTTGGCATCATTATTGAAAATAAAAAGAAGAAATATTAAAAAAACAAACATGTTATTTCAACCACTCACATAAAGACTCAATCACATAAAATATTCTTAGTATTAAGTAAAAAAAAACAACACACACACGGATTTGAATAAAATTGTAACAGAGTTAACTTGAAGGAACACTCCGGGCACCATAACATCAGGAACTAACGTACCTCAAGGTGTTTAGTAACAATTGGTTTAACCCCCCAGTGTTCAGTCTGGTGCCAATCAATTCTGTCGCTGTACGTTTGGTTCTAGTCCGAGTCGTGAAGGAGAAAGCCTTAAAATATGCGCCACTGATTGGCTGAAAGTGTCAGATCACATTAGTAGTTTCCAAAAAGTTCAAAAAATGAAGGAAAAGAAGGTGAGTATTTCAATTTTTCACTACATTTTGTGGATGGGGACTGCCTGATAGCTGCTCTGTCCGAGGCTTCCTGACTGAAGCTTTGGACTGGATAGGAGCTACAGGGACAGGGCTGACAAGTGCCGGCTTGAGAGCAAGGGGGTAAAAGAGTTAGTTAACAGTTTAACCCCTTGAGGTAAGCCCGTATCCAGGACCAACTAGCACCATAACTAGTTAATTCCAGTGAAGTTGTGATGGTGCCTGGGGTCTCCCTTTAAAATATTAATAGAGAAAACAGACGAATACAAAAAAATGTTCAACTTGAGTTATGGAGTTTAATGTAATCTAAATACAGTTTATCTACTAGTAGGGATCAACCAATATTGGTTTTTTTAAAGCCGATACCGATAATCTGGGAACTTTCAGGCCGATAGCTGATAACTTGCCAATATTCTGTACATTTACCATTTTTAAAAAATAAACTATTTCTAAAGGTAAATGCACAAAATATACATGCCACATGTAGTGGATGCAGTGTGTTTAGACAGGGGAGCTGTGTGTGTGTGTTTGTGTAGTATGTATAGTGAATGTAGTGAGTGTTTGTGTAGTGTGTATATATAGTGAATGCAGAGTGTGTGTTTGTGTAGTGTGTGTATAGTGAATGCAGAACAGTGTCTATAGTGAATGTAGTGTGCATAAGGGAATGCAGTGTGTGTATATAAAGCAGAGTGTGTGTGTATATAATGCAGAGTGTGTGTTGGTGTAGTGTGTATATAATGCAGAGTGTGTGTGTTTGTGTAGTGTGTATATAATGCAGAGTGTGTGTGTGTGTTTGTATAGTTTGTGTATATAAGGAATGCAGTGTGTGTTTGTATAGTGTGTGTGTGTGTGTTTGTGTAGTGTGTGTGTTTGTGAAGGGATGTATTTTGTGTAAATATATTTATATATTTGTTTTTTTTGTCCCCACTCCCTGTTTCATACTTGGCAAGGGAGGGGGGCATTAGCAGTCCATGGTGGTCCAGTGGCATGTACTGGGCAGTGGGGGCCGGCAGCAAGCTCTTACTGCAGCTCCCTTCCACTCCCTGTGTAAATCTCATGGTCTGCGTGCAGCGCGAAGCGTTGCCACTGTAACCCGTGGCAATGCTCTGCGGCCACGGGACTCGCAAAATTTACACTGGGGAGCTGGAGGAGCTGCAGGAAAGCTGCCGGCCTCCTCCAGGACCGCCGGGCTTGTAATGGGCCCGGCTGTCCTGGTATGTATTATCGGCAATATCGGTATCTCTATTGGCCGATACCGATATTGCCGAAAATACCAAATGTCGGTCGATAATATCGGTATAACCGATAATCGGTCGATCCCTATTATATAGAACCTAGAACAGTAATTATTATTATTATTGCCATTTATATACCGCTAATTTATTCCAAAGCACTTTACAATATTATTAAGGGGACTTTAATAGAAATTAGACGAATTATTAAAATTTTTGACAAGAACAATAGGTTCATGAGGACCTTACTCAGACGAGCTTAGAACCTAGACGTGGGGTGTAAGAACACATAGGAAGCGCAATGTGGAAGACAGGAACTGAATGACAAGGTGGGAGAGTAGCACGATTGGACAGTGAGAGTGAAGTGGAAAACAGACTCACTAATTATTTTGAGAGTGTAATGGCAATTACCGTGGGAGTCCATAGTCTGTTCTGAAGAGATGGGTTCTATTAGCTTTGCAGATGCTGTCCAATTCATTCACAAAGTGAAGCAATGCCCTAATGTTCTTTCGTTTGGTGTTGTCCTTACTCCCCTTAAACATGCTACTGTTGTAGCCATCCTAAAAAAAGCCATACCTAGATCCATCTTACCCTTGCAACTATGGTCCATTTCCTTCTCCCTTTTTTCTCAAAGCTTCTAGAAAGACTTGTCTTTACTCATTTGTCTCTCTTCCTCAATTCCAAATCTTCCCTCGACCCTCTTCAATCTGCCTTCCGCCCCCTCCACTCCACTGAGACTGCTCTGATTAAAGTTACAAATTACCTACTCACAGCTCAATCCAAAGGTCACTACTCTATACTAATTCTTCTTGCAATCTCTGCTGCCTTTGACACTATTGATCATACTCCTGCTCAAAACGTTTCTATCCCTCAGTCTCTATGACAATGTCCTCCTCCTATGTCTCTCAATGTTTGTTCAGTGTCTCCCTTTCCAATGACACCTCTCCCCTTATCCTGTCTCAGTTGGAGTCCCCCAAGAATCTGTTCTTTGTCCTCTTCTTTTTTCTCTTTATACTGCCTCTCTTGGCAAACTCATTAATTCCTGCCGATGACACGCAGATATAGCTCTCCTCCAATATTCTCTATCCCCCGCTGTCCTACAACGTGCCACTGCTTGCCTTTCTTCAATCCCTGACTGCATGTCCTCCTGCTTTCTGAAATGCAATCTCTCCAAATTGGAACTTTTTATTTTTCCTCCTCATATTGCTGACCCTCCTCTTTCACTTTCCCTGCAAGTTGATGGTACATGCATCAGTCTGACCTTCCAAGCTCGCTGTCATGGTGTTCTCTTTGATCCTGGCCTCACCATTCTGCCTCATATCCAGTCTGTTCCTAAAACCTGTCGTTGACACCTGAAAAACATTGCCTGCATCCACCCCTTTCTTACTCAAGCTTGTTTGTGGTCTGTGATCTCTCAGATGGGTTACTGTAAGTCTCTCTTGGTTGGTTTCCTCTACTGCCTCACTACAAATTGTAATGAATGCTGCCGCCAGGCTGATCTTTCTCACATATCATGCCTCCCAAACCTTGCCCCTCTGTCGATCCTTACGTATCCTATAGGTCTCAATTCAAAATACTAACCCTTACCTATAAAGCTCTAATTGGGAAGTGTTTCTAAATCCAGAGCCGTTCTGGTGCATATATAGGGAAAGTCAGTAGAGGTAATGGCTAGCGACAACGATATGGATACTATGCCAAAGTCATGATAAATGTTTTATTGGATTATTGTTCTTTTGTTCTAGAACCTTTCCTATATACATCTGCAGTTATGTTTAGTATGGTGTGAGCAGGAAAAGAGGGGCATTTAAATTGTTATACGAGCAAAGTTTGAGGATACTTTGACCTCAGATCACCCCAAATGTAATTATCTGGCTGCTGTCAAGGATTGAGGCCGTTGTTGGGCTATTTGGCGTGGATAGCCATTCACAAGTGTTAAATGGATCTGTCTTTGTTCTCTACTTGTCCATAAGCTCTGTTGCCACATGTAAATATACACAGATGTGCTGCAGATATCTACTGATATTGCACTGCTTGACCATCAATTCTGGTGCTCTGGTGACCTGACCAGCTATTTTGCTTATCGCCTTCTTTATTGGGTTTGTCTGTCTGTATTTCAAATAATGCTGATCACTCTTTAATTTCTACTTTTCATATTTACATTCAAAGTTCATGAGAAGACCAAGCAATATGTTGATTTAATTGTGTACACATTTCAGTGTCAAATTCAAAGCAGTGCACCTCTCACTGCTTTGCAGAACAATGTTAATTAACCCCATCACTACCTCCAAGTTCTTTTCGGTTTTAGAAGAAAGATAACAATTATTTGAAATGTTGGATACAGAGCTAGCACATAAACATAGAATAACATATATTATTTATTTACATATATATCCCTTAGAACACCATCAAATCTGCAAGATCTAGGATGGGTCACCAACCTACTGAGGCTTTTGGAAAAAGAGACGAGAATAGAAGCCCTAGTCAATTTTTTTTTCTTCTGGCATTTTTTTTAAGTTATGAGAGGAATAGTAGGCGCTCTTTTCTTTTCTCCTTTTTTCCCTGGTCACTTAGTAACCAGCTGAGTTTTGGAGGTCGAACATCAAATTCTATTGAATAACTTCCTTGTATAAAATCCTGGACCCAACTGTCATGAGTGGCTTTTGCCCAAGATTCCAAGAATAGAAGCAGATGTGCTCCTACCTCTGAAGGCTGGGTGAGGAGACCATCATAAGGCATGATTAATCTTGGCATTTGTTTTGTTGATGAGATCCTGTCTCTCCAAGCCTGGGATATGCCATATTCTTTGCCTGGACAATTGGCCTTGTTGACTCAAAAGGAATTATAGTCATAATTTCTCCTTTCTCTAAATCCTTTTCTAGGCTTACAGTCTTCCATCAGTTTCTCTCTTTATGCATTTGTCTAGATATTTTTCAAACAGCTTATAATATTTACACAATCATTTATATTTATTGCACGCTAATGAATTGTCCATCAACAAAATGCTGATTTTGTAGTATATGCTTATTGCTACACCCAATCCTTATCAAAGTAGTAATTAGGGGCACCCGTTTATTCCCAAAATAAAACCACAAAAACACTTGCAGCTCTTGACCTTCTCTTGTCCTTGCAAAAAAATTTTTAAAAAAGTATTTATCGTGCAATATGGCTTGACTCTAAGATTTAAAAAAGGAAGAAAATTATGAACATATATGCAAAGTCAAATTATGCGTAACAATAGACTGGAGCCCTAGCAGAGACATGCATTTTAATGGCATGGTACAAATTAGTACTGGACTTAAGAGAACGTGGCAAAGTTTCATAATGTTTTGAGGAAAGAAGATTCCAATTCTGAATTAACTTAATATTTTAACGGTGTTGAATTTTAAGAAGGGCATATTTGAAGAACAACGCATAAAAGGCTGTAGCTCCTGATGATATGTGCTTGCTCTTGTGGAACAGACTTTGTGTTGGGTACAGAATGATTGGCAATGAAGCTTTGAAGCATTTGGTATCATTTTATGATCTTCTTAAACTACGCTCGAGCTGTGCTTTAAATTATTTCATTTACTTTGAGGAAGGGAAACATAATGAAACAATGTGATTAAAAAGCTCACAAGTCTCTGGCTATTTAATTAAACTTTACAACTTTTCCATGTTCCATACCGAAGCATAAATTATTTTTAACAAACTGTGATTGTACTTTTACAGCAGAACAGTGTAGCAGGTATAGCTAAGTATTTGACCAAATCATTCCCAGAGTATGTAACCAGAACAGAATGGTTCCTGACCTTCTTCCAGAGTATTCTGCAGGACATGCTTTCAGCCATTGAATAACAAAGGCAATGTGTTTGAGTGTGTATGTGAGCGTCTGCAGCTCTGAAGGAAATGGATGTATATCACTAAACCAGAAGATAGCCTAATTTCCCATCAGGACCCAGGGAACAGGACCAGGGTACCCCTGGCCTCATAACCAATATAGCATGCTCTAGTGGTCATGATACATGGAGTAACCCTTTAAATAATCCCTTTGTGTAATTGTTCTGTAAAAGTCATGAAAATGTTGTCTCTATATAAATGCTTATACGGCTACTCCTACTTATAATGCTGGCGTGTGTATCTTTATGTGTATTTATGAAAGTATATGACTAAGTATGTCTCTTTGGGTATGTGTGTGTTATATATGTGTATTTGAGTGTGACTGTGGGTTATAAATATTGATTTGTGTATTTGTATATATTGAATGTGTTGTGTGATATTTGTATCCCGATTTGGTTCTTATCATCTATAAAGTAGGTTGCTTTGATAACCCGCTGTGCTCTCTCCACAGGCTCGGTTTGTGAATAGTACATGGGTGTTTGGGAAATTCATGTGTCATGTGAGTCGTTTTGCCCAGTATTGTTCTTTACACGTCTCTGCACTGACACTAACCGCTATCGCAGTGGACAGGCACCAGGTAAGCTTCCCCTTGAACCTTGCTAACGCTAAGCACACTGAGGCATGTATAGCAAGAAAAGCTGAGGTCTTATGATCCTAAATTGGAAATCAATTGTAAGAAGTATGAAATTGCCTTAAAAATAACTTTACTCCTTCTGACGGCCTTATCACCTGCTGTCTGTACTGCCATTTCCATTAGGGCTCTTTCTTATCACTCCTTGCTATTAATTCACTGTCTTTAATGTGCCATGTAATGATCCCTCTGTACCACACAGACTGATGTTACCAATTTGTTACGAGCAGAGAACTTAGTAAAAGACAGGTGCTACCTCCCAAGGAGCCTGTTCTTTTAATGCTCGATGTAATGTGATTAGATACATTTTAAAATCCAGGACTTCAGAATTGCCACGGCCAATTCCAGTAATACTAATGAAACCTGAATTCTTGGAGGTCCCCGAAGAAGGACTTGAGATACACTACTTTAATCTATCCATTGCCGAAAGGCTGATTAGCAATTCCTACCTAATCACATTTCACTCTGACATGCAATGACATTAACAAGACATCCCAAGGCGACAAACACTGTAAATTGAAAATTTCACGTGAAATCAAAGTAAGACCAGCGTAGACAAAATGAAAGCATAGGTGTCGACAGACGGAGGAGAGTTCCCCAGCACCGAGGGAGCCCGGCGCTGGAGAAAGGTAAGTGGCCATTAACATTCCCACCAAGCTTAACAGCCACTCCCATTAACCCGAACCAAGTACCATCGCTCTGGATAGGGTTTATTAATTAAACAGTTAGTTGGAGTGGATTGAAAACTGAAAAGACTCATACTGAAATGAAGGGAGTTATGCATTTTAAAGTACGACGAGAGGTGTAGGATTTAAATTAAAAAAGGAAAAGAAGGAAAATCTCCAAACCCTAAATTTAATAACCGTTTACTGAACAAACCTCTAGGTCTCACAGTTAATCTATTTGTGTGATATTAAACTGGATTCAGTTATTGCTTTGAGTACCAGGGAGCAAGAAAATAGTGCAGTTTATCTAAGTCACAGATATACAGTTTTTGACAATAAGACAATTTTCTTTTAGTTGACAAAAAGTCAATTTAATCATGGCTTATTCAATCAAACTGACAACTAAATATACTACTTCTGAATCGTTAGCCACAAGAAGAGCAATACGTGCTTAGTGGATAACTCCCTTGATTTTGGCATTGAGCTACTTTTCTTAAAGAAGCCACAATTCTAAGAGGGAAAATCTCAGAACATAGGCACATAAAAAAACAAAACAAAAAGTAATGCGATTTATAATGTGTGCTCAGAATTATTCAGGTTTTGCAAATCTAATAATATTAAAAACAGCAACCTAACTCTAACTCTAATTGATTTCTCAAGTCATTCAAGAACCTGTTACCTTTGCATCCCTCAGAATCCCTGGGTAACATGCTTTAATAGGGATTTTGTTTTTTTTAACGGAAAAGATACTGTACTTGACTCCAATATTAATGCAGGGTCGGATGTTTTTGGTTACAAATATCACAAGGTATTAGGCCTATGTGTGTAGGGGAGACTTAATGGTTTTTTTTCTTTGATATTGGTTTTAATGCATGTATCTATATAAATGTGTGAAAAATGGGTAGTAAACCAATTGTAGAGACTGGGTTTACAAGCGATGTGCCACCTGACAAAACTAAGATTAAAGCTACTTTTAGTTTAATGCGATCTGTACCGTTTATGGTAATTTTTGAATGATAAAAAATATTTATTGCTCCAGACTGACTGTTTTAGTTTAAAATTTACAATGTGTTTGAGCCTCCAGAATTTCTAATTCATTGCATAAATGTCCCTGAAATGAATTTGAATACAGCAATGAGTTTAATAGGATTATCCAATACGCTGGAATTGTCGTGTATTGATCAGTAAATTAAAAAACTGTAGACCCAAATTGTGTCCTAGAAATGTGCAATCCTAGAATAAATAGCCCTGCATATGTGTTTATTGTAGACCTTGTCAACCCATTTCCCTAATGTATAGGATTCGGTTTTTTTAAACCATGTCACACATAATTGTTATAAATATTTAGCATGTCCGCATCTCCTAGTTTATATAAATGGTGTTTAGTAAGGCATTACAGACCATTTAATGAGTGACAGTTATAACCGCTTCTTTCGGAGACTGAGAAGATTCAAGGATGAATAATCACTTTCAATGTCCTATGCAAATTCTAGGCAGTATATTTTTAACCTCAGTTCTGAATTCTATACAAGGACACTGCTGTGTTCGTGCTTGCAACCTAATCATGTCTAACTTGTCAAGCCTCAAATAAAAGTTGCAAGGGCAAATACAGTACAGTTGTTAAAGCAGGTGTGTGCAGAAGGGTCATGGGAATTATAGTTATAATAGTGAAAAAGACTGCATTAATCCCATCCATACCAACAACGTATTGTTTAGAAACTTTGTTTAATTTTGAAAGAAAATTAATTTAAGAATCAATTTAAATAAAATATCCCCTGCATCCACCATGACCCTAACCTGGCACAGAAATTAATTTTCGCGTTGGGGCTACAGTCAATACTTTTACCTTTTACTTAGGATCTGTTGGTCTGACTGCCAATCTATTTATGGACTTATATAGTGTATGAACAGCGAGATCTGATTCTATGCACTCAAATTATTCACATGATTCATAACATTCAAGAAATGTTATTCAGTTATAAAAGGCTATTGATATTTTTATTGGATTGCAAAGTAAGCTACACTTTATTATCTAAGTATTTCAACAAATAAATGGAAAAAACCCACATAAAACCAGCATCTGTAAATTTGACTGATTTTCGAGTTTATGCAACCCAGCAAGAACCTATGTACAAATTTACTGTTTTGACCTAATGTCAAATAATGAAGGTTATGCCTGTATTTTTCTTACAAAAGAACCCTCAGTAATGAAGGCTGTAAAAAAATGCATTTTATTCTTTATATTTTGCAATATGCGAATGCCCAGACTGATTGTCTATAGCAAACTTCTTAATTGTTTTTATTTTTTATATAACCAAAAAATTAAAGGACCACTATAGGCACCCAGACCACTTCAGCTTAATGAAGTGGTCTGGGTGCCAGGTCCAGCTAGGGTTAACCCTTTTTTTTAAATAAACATAGCAGTTTCTCTTGACAGCCGCTAGAGGCGCTTGCGTGCTTCTCACTGTGATTTTCACAGTGAGAAGACGCCAGCGTCCATAGGAAAGCATTGAGAATGCTTTTCTATGGACTTGCTGAATGCTCGCGCAGCTCCTGCCGTGCATGCGCATTCAGCCGAAGAGGAGGAGAAGAGGGAGGAGAGGAGGAGGAGAGCTCCCCGCCTGGCGCTGGAAAAAGAGGTAAGTTTAACCCCTTCCTCTCCCCAGAGCCCGGCGGGAGGGGGGCACTATAGTGCCAGGAAAACTAATATGTTTTCCTGGCACTATAGTGGTCTTTTAAGATCTTGTTTTCATACCTAGGGAGATACTCACTTACCTTTCCTGTTGTATATTTGCGTTGAAATAGTGAATGGGGTAATATTCTTTTCAGAGAATATTTTCTCATTTTGAATCCTAGGATTTAGTTCACCCTTTTGTCAGTTAAGGAGTTAATGACAATAATGAATGTGCGTGATAAACACTCCTGATTCATTGTTTCTTCCCATCAAGGTAATCATGCATCCTTTAAAACCTCGCATATCTATGGTTAGAGGATCTGCGTATATAATCATCATATGGATAATGGCAAGTTGTTTCTCTCTTCCACATGCGATCTACCAAAAACTGTTCACCTTTGAATACAGGTATTTATATGGTCTATTGTATATCCTAAATAAGGGACAGATGCAGACATTCTATGACTTTCAATGTCTCTATCAGAATATTTGAGTAAAAAACTTGCTATTAAGAAAGCTTGATAAAAGATATCACCAAGATCATGTCTCCAATAATACATTTCTTATTGAGTTTCAGCCTTGAGTTGAAAATGGTGTGGTTGACTTTGCAAGCCAGTTGCCACTTTATAAAATAATGAGAAGGCTAATTTGGCTAACTTTGAAATGCCAGGTGTTTTGGATTTTGCACTACACTTCCGTGAAGGTGCTCTGAGCATCGTGGGAAATGTAGTTTGCAAGCATCTGATATGCCAAGAATACTCAACATTGTGCAATGCTATGTTTGGCTTTCCCTGTATTCATCCCCAGAGGATGTGCCCATAGTGGAGGTTAGAAATACATGCAATTTCTGTGACAGAGCATTTATATTAGTATATGTACAGTTCTGAATGGTTTAACGTTTCCATTGGAAACATGATAGCGTTTTATACATTGCACAAGTGCTAGATTGCCAGTTACGTGCATGCCAATCTGCACCTCATATTCAAACTTAACTATATTGGAATCTGTCTCATAAATTCTCATTGCTATAGACATAAAGAGAAAATAATAAGAGTAGAGAATAGGAAACCTGTTTCTTTCAAATGCATTTGTCTTTTATAGAGAGGACCCCCTTGCTTTGATAAAAGCTTGTGTACAGTGTCACATGACATGGAAAGGAGCCAAAAACATTAGGATTCACCCAAAATGGGATCGTGCTGTGCAGCTTCCTTGTTCTTGCATCCACAATGTTCTCCATCTTTATTGACAAACCTGTAGGTTGAGATGTAGACAGCTGTCTTTAGGGAGTAAGTGACACAACAGATGCCAATCTCTGTTTGCTGCTCAATCGCCAGTTTGTGGCGGCCAAGCCTTGGGCACGGATGGGCAGCGCCCTGAAACACTTCCAGGGTTCCTTTGTGAAAATTTCAGTCCACTGTATGAGCGGTACTCAAGTGCTGTGCACCCTCACGGGTTGTCCCGCTGTGGAACTTATATACATCTAAAGGGCGTAAACATAGGGCAACACAGGAATATCAAAATATGGCACTTGTTTTAAAAATAATATAAAAATCACCTGGTTTATTAAGCGAAGAAAACTTAAAAGATTAATTTAAAGTCAAAGTTACAAGGAAACTTAATGAGGCAAGAATGTAGAGTTAAAATTAATTATGAGATTAATAATAATAAAAAAAGGCAATAAAGAAGCAAAGTTCTAATAGGTTGAAAATATTATGTGGATACATTTTCTTGACATCTGATTTACAAAAAAAAGTTTTATTAACTATAAACAAGAGTATATTGGTCTCTAAGGAAACATTCTGAGAATTTGATTGCAACTTGGATGATGTGTTCGTATTTAAAAAAGCAACAACAATGTTCCAAGATATATTATTGCTGTAGAAGAATGCCCTTTGGGTATCAATGATCTAGATCTACGGAGTTTAGCATGTAATATTTATCAACGAGAACACCTGAAACATTATGGGTACATCAAGGAATCATCATGGTTTGACAGTGAGGAATGAGGGTTTGTGCTCAGATCTCACGGCGGACGAGCAAACTAAGTGATTTCAATTTAAAAAATGCATAACAATCTCAGCAGAAAAGATTAAATGTGCTTGGTTGGTTAGTTTGAGATCCCCCAGGTAGGCTTTCATTCCTCAGTCATCAGCCATCCTTACGAACATTGAATATGGCAGACTACGAGAGCATAGGGAAGTGCTTTATAACCAGTCCGACAATGGACGTTTGGTCACGGAAGTGGTAGAGCATCGAAAGGATCCTTTCAACATAGTGACCCATTGAATCCAGAGAATGCAAATCCGTGATAATTTCTAAAACACGAATAAACTCTGCAAGTGCTTTTTTAATTGCCCCTAATAACTGCCTTGTCTGTGTAAGAGCTCGCTTTGTGTAGACACATCTGCATTTCTACATTACTCTACAACTATCGCATTTTGCTCCTCTCACACCTTGAGGAAGTCCAACCCAGGAGAGAGCTAAGTGAAAGAAACCTTATTGCACTCATTGTACTTTTCCTGATTGTTATTAAATGAACACTTCAAGCACCATAACCACTACAGCACGTTGTAGTGGTTCTGGTTTAGGAGTGCCCAATTGTAAGTAGTCCAACCTATCGTAAGCAGTTCAACCGGTGTCTGTTGGGTGCAGCTCCCCTCATCCACTACTTCCCATCGAGAGCTGGAAGCTCCTAAGCATGATAAACCCCGCAATGCAGGGCTTAGCTCTTGCTCTCATTATACTCTACAAAAAAAGCAATTTAGGCAGGGAGTGATTCCTGGTAGACCCCAGGTTAGAAGTCAAACTATTCTAGTATTATTTCACGTTTTTATTTTTTTCTTGCAAAGGGGGACCACCAAAGCACTCCTGGCACCATATCCACTGTAGTGGTTATGGTGCATGCAGTGTTGTTTTTAACTCACTCACCGCATTGGCCTCCTTCATCTCTGCTGAAAACTATGTGAAAAAACGATTTCCTTAAGTTACATAAAGTCATAGCAGTAACGACAGAGACATCTTCATATGAAATAAGGCTGCTATCTAATTATTTTGAACTCCTAGAAGAACAAATAGCTTTGAACTGTCTTTCATTTGCAGTAATTATGTCTATACCACAATAATTAAAAATCTGCTTCAAAATAAAATAAATAGATTTAGAAATTGTGACGCAAAACTCCTCAAAGGTTTAATGAGGAAAGCAAAAGTGTCATAATTATTTTGACTACCATGCCAAGTGTATGCTTTTTCCGATTTTTTTCTTTAAAGTTAATGCTATTTGCAGTCATGATCCTGAGCCAGTTAGCAAGTTACTTGCTAATTATTTACAGCATAGAAATATTGATTTTTATTAATTGGTGCGTCTGATGTTTATTTTGCAAAGGCAGGCTGGCAAGGATCACTCTGGGGTCATTTTATTAACTAAAATGTCTATGAATTCAAAGTGAATTTCAAGTCCTACGCCAATATAATCAAACTGGAAACATAGCTGATTAAGATATTTTTTTTCTAAATCAGCTATTTCAGCCTAAATTTAAATTATCTTTGAATTTATGACACTTCAGTTAACAACAGGGCAAGAGAGCTAGAATCAGACGTAAATCGTAAATCAGATATGCCCAAGATTAGCTCGAGTTAAGGGGCAGCATCTCTTTGAAGTGTTCTTTAAAGCAAGTAGGATAAAGATATAGAACCTCTACCCAACGCGTTTCATTTTTATCAGATGCTGTTGATATCTTTTTTAAAAGCCTGCATGTATAATTTTTTGAGACAGAATACTTATCAAGCATGATCTTACAATCCAACCTTCTCCCTTGCAAAGCAAACTGAAGTAACTTCACCCACCAGAACATGTCTACAACTCCAAACACCTATTCATTACATTCACTACTTCTAGTGAATTTACAATCACTAATTAATCTAACTAATCTGCCTCCCATATCATATTGAATTAATGGCTGAAATAAAAATTTGTTTCTAAAACGTGTTCACTCCCTTACTCACTTTAAACTCACATTTACTTTTTCTCACCAAAGTTTGCTCTCCTTTGTCAATGAAATAATGTTTCTGCACTTGTTCTGTTCCTTCTTCCTGTCACTTTAAACACATCTCTTCAAATGTTACCTGTTTCATCTTCCTCTTTCCTAAACTAATGACCCATCCGTAACTACCGTCTTTAAATTATGCCATTTTTCTAATGTCTTTCAAACATACATTTATCATTCATCTCTCCCCACCATACAATCTCCGTACACAAACACCCACGCATTTTGAAAATATATCTTTTAGATTACTTTACTTAAGGAGCACTTTAAGTACCAAAACAAATTGAACAAGGTTTATAGATATTGGTCTAAATAATTGCCTATATTTATGACCAATTTTGTATCGTTTTGGAAAAGAATGTTTTGCTGCGTTTGAATTATAGCCCTGCTTCCTTTGTCCTACCTTCCAATAATAAAATGCTTCGTTCTTTCTAATGCCTGTACTACTGTAAAGCTCCCTCTCTGTCCCTTCCTCCTAACCTGCAGTGATGTATTGCACAGTAGTACATCATTAGTGGACACAGCAAAGCTCTTTGGGAGTTGTAGTCCACTTAACAGCTTTCATAAGTAGATAGTTGAAATACTGAACTTCAAATCCCAGAATTCTTTTTTAGTAATTGTAAAATCCCACCTTATATATTTTGTACCTTTTCTTGCAAATGTCCCATCTTTATAATCTCACCTATCCTTACTTCATAATGCTTCTCTTTCTTTTGAAACTGCTGGGAAATATAATTGACCTCCATAGCGGTGGAATACATCAATGGGTAGGATTAAATATGCATGCAATACCAATTATAGCTATAACAGTGGCACTCAGAAGTTTTAATACAGATTAAAATTTACTGGACGTAATGGGAATATATATATAATTATAAACCATTCATTTAATTCCCTTATACAAAAAAAAATACAAATCATTAAAACCTTAATATAAAATTCTAAACTATTGACACAATCTAAAAAAATAGTATTTCTGAAATTTGTGCGTAAAGTGTAGCAGTGTGGGGAAAAAAAAAATTAACCTTACTTATTCATTGCAGTGAAGAGAATGTCCGAAGCTTGTGTCTCCCAGATTTCCCTGAACCTTCTGACCTTTTCTGGAAGTATCTGGATTTGGCAACCTTCATCCTGCTCTACGTTCTGCCTCTGTTAATTATCTCCGTGGCCTACACAACAGTAGCAAAGAAATTGTGGTTGAGGAATGCCATAGGAGACGTGACGACCGAGCAGTTTTTTGCACTCCGTCGAAAGAAGAAAAAGACCATTAAGATGCTGATGTTGGTGGTTGTCCTCTTCGCTGTTTGCTGGTTTCCTTTAAACTGCTACGTTGTTCTCCTTTCCAGCCAAACCATTCGCACTAACAATGCTATTTACTTTGCATTTCATTGGTTTGCAATGAGTAGCACCTGTTACAACCCATTCATATACTGTTGGCTGAATGACAAATTTAGGTCAGAATTGAAAGCCTTGTTGAACATGTGCAAGAAACAGACTGGTCCACATGCTGTGCTTCCTTCTACTGTCCCATCCTATAGGTTGGCATGGCCTGAAAGCAAGAGTTACAAAAGGGCAGTTGTCTCGCACACCTTACCATCATCTTCTAACTTCAACTCTGGAAAGACAGATATCTCAGCAGTGGAACCAATTGTATCTGTTGGCTGATGTCCCACACAAAAGAACTAGCTGCAGGTACAAGCTACATGAGCTTGAGAAGCAGTCATTTGTGTGATAGCGTAAAAACAACATGATATGGAGCAAAATCTGAGACATGACATTTGAATGATAAAATTACTGCCAATTTCAAGTAATTATATAAGCATATTGGTCACTGTGTGAAACTGTGTTAAGGTCAACATGAAAGAGAGGTTCCGTGAGGGTCCGAGCTAGGAGACAATGTGTATTGCATTTAGTTACAAGGATAGAAAGTGTTATTACATTGCTTTGCTTTGGAGCTATTTTTTATACCATGCCATGCACCAAATGAAGAATTAAACAAAAACATTCATGACAAAAATAAAATAATTACATTTTCTTGACATATAAAGAATATGGTTCTAGTATTAGTGGTCCGGATAGTAGACTTCAATGTGATGTTTATGAAATTCAGTTCCACTTCCACCTCTGGGAACAAACAAACTACTTCACATGTTTTTAATTCCATCCTCTTTAGTGCACACATGGTTATGGCTGTCATGGGACCATAAGGCTGCAGATATATATTCATTTGTCTGAGTTTTTAATGAAATCTATTTGACCAAGTCACACTTTATTTGAGAGTTATGTTGTTAAATAGCCAGTCAATGAGGTAGATTGTGGAACATTTTAATGTCCATATTAACTACCCCACTAATGCCAACTGTGACGGTTGTTAAAATGCTTTTACACTCCTAGTTAGGTGGGGTATACAGAATAAATGTCATTGCATGTACCAATATAAGACCTTTCTCTTCTGTACGAAAACCTGAATCAGTGGTGACTATTCTGGACCTGCAAAGAGCTGCACTACCATAAGCCAGATGCTGTGCACATCATACCATGATGATAAGAAGTGTGGTAAGCAGGGGTAGCCTGTCCAAAGAAAACAACAACAATTAGAAAACAATACACAAACAGAAGGTAAAAAAAAACATAGTTATGAGATAACTATTCCAAGATGGATATGTGAACTAAATGTGGGAGTGGCTTATACTTTTTATCATAATCATTATATGGAAAAGTCGGAAAGGCACTATATTTTAGACAAATGTAAGCAATGTAAACATATAAAGAATATGGCTCTAGTATTAGTGGTCCGGATAGTAGACTTCAATGTGATGTTTATGAAATTCAGTTCCAATATCCCATCAACCAATAATTCCATTCATTTGTGCAGGCAAACTCTCTGACGCACACAAGCTGCCTACAGACAAACTCATTGGTATACATACAGAAGCTCACTACAGACACGGAAATGTCACGCACATACACATACTCAATACAGACAGGTTCACTGACAAACACACATGTTCACTACAGACAAGCTCACTGACACACACACACACAAATTCTCACTAGAGACTGGTTAACAAGCAGACACACACAAGCTCACTACAGACATCACTGTCACACACACATGCTCACTACAGACATACTTACTGACACAGAAGCTCACTACAGACAGGCTCACTGACACACACACGTTCACTACAGACAAGCAAACTGACACACACATGTTCACTATAGACAAGCTCACTGACACACACACACAAACTCACTCACTTCAAACAAACTCACTAGCATGTACATACACACACAGGCTCACTCTCAGTCATGGGCTGCTGGATATTTTTTTCTACTAGTACCTTGCACTGAAGGCTGTGGGAGCACTGGGTTATGAAGTTGCCATTTCCAGGCCTCCTCCTGCTGAAGAGATCAGCTTATTGAGGCTGAGGGCGGTGCTGGAGTGCGGGGCCAGGAGGTAGAACAGAAAAGGGAACAGTATAGCTGACGGGAATGTGAAGGGAGGCTTACAGTGCACCGTATTTTTTTAAAGGGAAAAACTTTCTGCACGTCACTAGTTTATAGGAGCAATATGGAACTGTAGGTGTGTCTTCCCTACAGACTATCATCTAGATTTTGGTCAGTAGGTGGAGCAATTACATCACCAAAAATTATTGTATGGGGGTTCCATTTGCCTTTTTACATAATGGGTTAACTGAAATTGGTGATGCTTTTACGTAATTTTCGGTTATCTTTATGGCTACTATAAATCCTGCCAATTTCAAAGGCCTTTTCACTCTTATACCAGACATAGTGTTGGCAATTTCGATCGTAATTTTAGAATTGACACCTCCTAACCTTAATTTCACCCTTTTCTTACAATGGAGCTTTGTAAGATTCCGTAAGTATTTTTTTGTTTTTTTTTTAAAGTAAAATTAATTACTTAGTGTTATCTGTCATTGGTGTCTGGTTTTCTTGTGTGAAACTGTGTTTATTATTATTTATACTCCACTAACATTAGTAAATAATATTATATTTCTTCATTGATATTTATCCATGAATAGTCTATATTATTAACATGATACTAATTATATATGATTAATATAATAATAGTAAATTATTAGTGGATATTGTGTGTATATATATATATATATATATATATATTGTATGCAACTGTCTCTGGGTTAGTATTCCATTCCCCTTTTGCTGTTAGACATCATGCCTTATCTTAAGTTTTGTTTACATAAGTGCATTCCTTAGCTCAGACTTGAATGAATAGAGTTACAGAGAGAAATCTTGTGTCTGTCTTAGCCTTGTAATACAAAATGGAGTCACCTCTGTTCTGAGGGTGACTGGTAGTATACACTTATAATTTCTGTCTTAACAAAATGTCTGCTGATATAAATATACTGACAGTACGAGGCAACCAGAGTTCACATGAATCTAAAATCACTAGATTCTTGGTGATTGTCCCCAGGATATCAGATGAGGTACCACGGAGCAATATAATTTTCATTGATCTTCAATTGAGTCACAAGTGTTCTATCTGGTTGAAGCCATTTTACATTATTGTATCTTCTTTCTAGAATTAATTGTATCAACCATGGCTATTTTGATAAATGTTCTTCAGTAGACATTGAAGGGTTAATGTAATGTATCTGTCATGTCCACTCGTCCCAGCAGGACAACAACTAAAACTAGTGAGATGCTTTTTTTCTTGTTTAACCCCTTAAGGAGCAAACTTCTGGAATATAAGGGAATCATGACATCTCACACATGTCATGTGTCCTTAAGGGGTTAATAATGAGTAAATTAACAGAAACAGGATAACGGTGACAAAGTTAGATTTACACATTCTCACACTAAACAATGTAACATTGAAAGACAATATTTCTCTTCTTGCTTAACCCCTTTGTGATGGCTGTCATACCCTTTATGGTGTCACTAATGTACATAGTGATGGCTAACATAAAGGGTACAGTGGCCATTGTAATTGTTCACAAATCACAAGAGGGAGGAAGGTATTCGGCAATAGACCCTCACAGGCTCCCCATTGCTTCCGATTGCTGTGTTATCGTACACAGTCACAGTGAGCCCCACACAGTAAAGACATGCTTTAGATGTTAGTTAGTTAGAATGTTAGATGTTAGTTAGAATTACAGTTAGCTAGGGGTGGCTCGGCCTAGAGTTTGTTAGTTATAGCTAGGGCTAGGATTAGATAAGGTTAGGGTTAGATAGAGTTAGGGATCCATATGGTCTAAAATAGTGTCAGTGTACTTTAGTCAGTATGGTGACACGGGTAGCGTCACTTCAACAAATAGCTTCTCTGGGAGGCAAGGAAAAAGGCATGTCAAAATGAGAACATGTATCCAGTTTGACCCTGTAAGTGCCCCACAAATCTGGCATGTGTACACATGGGGTATAAATTAAAATGATGAATCCGTGATTTATTTATTTAGATTTTAGTAGGCCAAGGATTTAAGCAAGTTCTCCAGGGCTTGACCCTATATATATATACTAGAAGACATCAAAAAAGGAGAGGGAGTTATTGCAGGTTTCCCCTGTTCCAGACTTAAACTTAATTAAAGGGCCTAAAGTTGTATCTCTATATGGGAGGGACCCACTTATTTCTTAATTGTTATTGAGGCTTTATTCTGACCTTTAATTATATCTTAGGTGCCTAGAAAGATATGTCAATATGTATCAAGCGGTAGTTTATTTAAATTTTTTTTAATTCTTTATTTTTGTTGCGCAAGTGAGTACAGTATCAATGACAGACGCCACATATGCAAATTAAACAGGCTTAACAGTGGCAACGATAAGAGTGCAATTTTTTTTTCGTTTTTGAATACAGGCTTAGTTTAAGGATGAGCTTACAACATTCACAGGTACATGCAAATAAGCTAAGTGCCGCAAGATTGAAATGTTTAGTGTTTTACGCTAGCTTATAATTCATGCTTAAGGCAGGTGAGTGCTTATATCCGATTATACATGCTAGCCCCATCGTGTTTACCGAGCGTGCTAGTTGTCACATTATGTTTAGACAAATACTAGTCCTTCCAGCCTCAATTTTGTTTATAGATGTGATGTAAACCAATCAGTATGCTAACCATGTTATTATCAGTACAAGCAATGTTGGTAAGGAGTACTATAGGTGTAAACAGGCTATTGCATCTAGATTATTTAACAACATACAAGTTAGGTCTTATGGGGTCGCCTCAGGGCGGTGGGTGTTGATAACATTAAGACTTTTCACGATAAAGCAGGGGACCAGGTCTAATTAATTATAGTTGCGGTTAATGATAGCTTCAGTCATGCGTGGGTTTTTCCACCCCAGGCTAACCCCCCAGCCGCCAGATGAAAGTCAATGGTGTCATTCCGTGGGATCTTCCTGTAAAGTATAGGGGCGGCAGAGGGACGGGAGCCAGGGTACTGCCCTGTGAGACACTGTCCAGGCAAGTGGCATGATGACATTCCCCTCGTGGTGTACTTGCGATTTTTAGTCCTGTGCCTGCTTCTAGTGGGAGCCAGGACCCTGCAGCCATGTTGATTGTCGCGTCGGGACTCGCAGCCTCGGGCTGTCGGTCTGCGTGTGTTGGTGTCCGCTTGTTGCTCTGAGAGGCTCAGCTAACAGGGCTTCGTTGCTGGGCAGGACTCCCTCTGCGAACATGCTTGAGCGATCTGGACTGATAGGTCCCTGGTGCCGGCCCCCGCCGTTTGTGTGTGTTGTGGCAGTGTGTTTCAGGTTGCTCTTCCACCATGCGGTTGGACCCAGGCTGAGTCTCAGCGGGTACTTACCAGCCCATACAGGCTGTCTGTTATTGTGGGGCCTTATTCCTTTCATCTCGGGCTGCTGGACATGTGGTCTCCGCCATGTTGGTGCGGCCTCCGGGTGTTGGGCCTGCTCTGTCTCCGCCTGGTGTGCTGGCGTGTCTGCCCGCGGGTGGACCCAGGGTGGGGACCAGGATCACCTCTGCTGGCCCAGAGGGGGGGGAAATGGGGCCAGACCCCCTAGCCTCGTGTTTCGTTCAGACCACTGGTGGGCAGGATAGCAGGGTGGCGGCCGTCCACTCCACTCACCGTCTGAGCGCTCCCCATCGCCAGAGACAGAGAGCGTCCCACCGAGGGACTAGCACCTTGCAGCAAGCATCTCCTCGGAACCAGGGTGACTTCTCATGCAGGGCCACTGTTTCCAGTTGTTTGGTAGATATATGATTTGTTTTCTTTTGATAAAACTGGGAAAAATTGCAGGAGCCGTTCTGATGTGCGACTTGCCAGCATTGCGGTCCGGCCCCACCCCCCTCAAATGGTAGTTT